GTTACGGTCACGCGTGTAGAGGTAAACGAACCCGTATAATCGATTGCGTTTCAAAAAAAATATAATGATGGCACACTCATACACCAATAATGTACTCGTTGATATGTTGTTAATTTATGGCGAATGTCTTCAAAATCCTACAGAGGCTTCGCGAGTGTATGCAGATCGTTTCCCTAGACGACATCATCCAAGGCCCCGCAGATTTGTGTACCTGGTCCAGAGAGTCAGGGATACGGGCCATTTGGAGGAATTTCGAGGTGGGCACAGTGGGAGGCCTAGACAACCACGAATAGTGCAAGTTGAGGAAGAACTACTGAATCGCGTAGACGAGAATCCCTCAACAAGCACTAGAGACTTGGCTAGAGAAGTGCAAGTATCAAAAACTAAAGTGTGGCAAATGCTGCGTGAAGAGGGGCTGTACCCGTTTCACGTCCAACGTGTACAAGCCCTTCAACCTGACGATTTTCCAGCAAGAGTGCGGTTTTGTGAGTGGTTGTTGCATCAACATGACAATAATCCGGACTTTTTGAAGTGCATATTGGTGACAGACGAATCTACGTTCACGCGTAATGGGGTGAATAACTTTCGCAACACTCATGTTTGGTCAGTAGAAAATCCGCACGCTGTCCGTCGGGCACATTTTCAATAAACATTTTCGGTGAATGTTTGGGCTGGCATGGTAAACGGTATACATATTGGACCATTTATTCTCCCAAATCGATTGGACGGGATGCAATACCTAGACTTTTCACGCAACATTTTGCCTTCCTTGTTAGAAGATGTGCCATTAAGTGTAAGACAATCAATGTGGTTTCTGCACGATGGTGCACCGCCCCATTTTAGACGCGAAGTGCGTGAGGTTTTGAATGAATTATTTCCGAATAGGTGGATCGGACTTAATGGACCCGTAGCGTGGCCTCCGCGATCTCCAGACTTAACACCATGTGATTTTTTTCTTTGGGGAGGAATGAAACGCTTAGTGTACAAAACTGAAGTGCATACGGTTGACGAACTTCGTCTCAGAATTGAACAAGCTGGTGCTTTCATTCGGGGGAGCGATTACCTATAAAGTACGTTTACCTAAAAACTGAAAACGCGGCAACGCCGTCATATTTGTTACCTCTGTTCGTGGTCTGCACCACCGCCTGCGTCTGCTCGGTAGCGCATCAGCTGATTTCATTTTCTGTTGGAGCGGTATGATTTCGGGCAGAGACGTACTTAGCCCTTCTCGTCAACTGCAGAGCGAGTACTTTTTCCTTTATTTTTTTTACTTGGTCACCCTCGTTGCACTACACATTACCTTTGTTATTTGAAGGGTAGTTGTTTCTGAAAAGGACAACCCCAACTTTGCGGACACCCTGTATAAATACTCCCCTGTAGCGGTGTGTCCATGTCTAGTTCGAGTTAGTTACCTATTTTTTGCACCTGCTACAGTCACAGTGGCCTCCACGACTATGCAGCGTCGTAGCATCGCGCCACGAACGCAACAATTTCAAGTTATTTTGAATTATGGGCACATTATAGCTTCCTAATGACTGATACTAAATACGTAACATTTACAACTCTCTGCCCCTTGCAACCCAATCCCCAATCTTCAACCCCTGCAAAATTTCTTTAGAAAATGGTCAGGAGCCTCTGAAACAAAGTTCGAACGACTGCCACTACTCCGATTTTCGTTTTTCGTAATCTACAAAGCTTTTTCGTTCTTGGTATGGAAGTAACATTGTGCAAAAATTTCAAATTCTGAACGGTAGGTACTTCTCAAGCGGCTATAAGATCAGCGTACAGACCGACAGACAAACATACAAACCCACGGAATTGAGTGACATGGTCTTTCGTGATGTCCATGTACAACAACAAAAGAAATATCTCATTTTCAATTTTTTTTGCGATTACAGTAATTCCCAGTGCCCAGTGACGTAGGCATTATTATTAAGTAAAAGACAAGGAGCAGCATACAGGGCGACCGAGAAAAAATATTCAATGCATACAGAACCTAGTGCTGGATTTAGGAATCTGTCGGTCGGTGGTCGCAGCATTGATGTTTAGGATGATATTCCACTCGGGGGCGGGGATTATAGCGGCAATTAAAAAATAAAGAGAGGGGTGGCGGCTACATGCTTAAGCACTGAAGCAGCAGTCCTTGGAACAATTGATGAGCAGGTGATGAAATACGTCTGAAGGAAGGGGGAGGGGGAACCCGCTAAAATTAGGGAGTGCATTAAATGCTCATTATGCATGCAAATCTCCAATGGTGCAGTTTCCTCCATTATATCTAGTGGTATAATATTTATATATCTTTGGATCTTCTTGTAAAAAGATTTGCAATTTCAGAAAATAAGAGACAAGAAAATAAATTTCCGGTCAGCTGATAGTTTGTGTGCTCTCATAAGCTTCCAGTTGGGTAAACCGAAATCACTCAATAAAAGGATTAGTCAAGAGGGCAAAGGATTATAATTAACTAACCAAATAAAACTTAATACTTTACTGTACACCTAAACAAACATAAATGCTTTAAATATGTACAAAATATTCATGTCTTTTGATATTATGTAATAATACCGACTTAATATGAATCATAATAGTAAGATAGTTAACTATATGAAAAACTAAACCGATGATAATATATGAGCAATGAGCATATAACTATTTAAGTACATTTTGGTCTATTTACATGGTAGGTGGGAATATTGATTCACGGTGAGCCCTCAGATTTTACAGTCTGATGGCTCTGATGGACTATCGCCAGTAACTGATATAAGCAAAGGTTGCATCGTTGTATCAGTAGTTCCCATATCTTCCGTTCTTCTGCTAAAACGTGTTCCAAGCATTTACGCCATGTTTCTGGAGTTACTGGAGGTACTGCTTTGAAACATCTCTTTCTGTTAAGTTGTTGGGTATTGATTGTCATTTAACTTGGGAGTCACATGTGCAATTGCTGTGTCGTAAATCAAGTATAAAATGTTTATCAAATCACTGCTTAAACTGTCACTTGCTCTATCGCATTTTAAGCTGGTGATGCAGCTCATCAATAGAGATTTTCTTCTCCAGAAATCTGTTATTAGAATCATTACAAACCTTAATTGGTATCAACCTTACAGGAATTATTTTCGATCCCTAAGAATTTTAAAAGTAGCTTGTATTTACATTTATGAATTGTCAATATTTGTGCATGAGAATGATTTGAACCTCTTCAATAACAAAGAAGAACTCCTAAACTTTGCTGGTAAGACTCTACACTACTGATTGAGGATAAGACGTGCATATTATTCAATTAATGTTGTAATAAGGTGCCATAGATTTCTTCAGATGTCATATAGTACTCGTATTTCCAATATGAAGCTTCACGGTGTTTTCAGAAGAGGGGAGGCTAAACCAATTCATAAGAATGTTTTAGGCATCCAGGATCTCCAATTTATACGTCGTCGCTTTAGTTTGGGCTGGGAAACTCTGTGTGTCTATTGCTTATGATGTACTCACTGAACGTCTATAATATAAATAAAGTATCTTTACCCACTTGGTAGGTAAGTATTTTTTCAATTTCGTAAATAAGTCTTCATCTCTTGGTAGGGGAGCGTCTTGCGACCCATATTTATTTTGTTATTTTTGCATGTAGGGGAAAGGGGGGTAAGATGACGATAGTTAGCTTATTATACATTTTTCTCAATGCAATTTCAATTTGGTATCTTGTGTTCAATTTTAACATTAACTTGAAACATTAAGAAGTAAAGAGAATTATCAAATACTTAAATATTGTAAGATTTTCTATTTAATTTTTTACCATAAAAATTGGATGTAAAGTTCGTCATCTTGCCCTCGTAGGCGGGTAAGATGACAATAATGGGTGGGTAAGATGAAAAAAAAAACTATATTTAAAAATTAATCATATTTTTATTAAACATGACAAAAGTCACAAACATATGCCTTAAGCTTTGCCTCTGATGCTGTAAGATCAGTACAGGCGGCATGCACCCATTTACTACAAGAGGAGCAGGCATATCAAAGTTCATCTTTGCCTGATTCAGTGCAAATTAAACAAACTTCTTCCGTATCTTCGACGTAATCGATGTTATCATCTTTCCATGTAATCTAATGATATGGAGGAATCTGAAGTCACACTGTCATTATCAAACCTTATTTGTTTAACATGTTTCTGCTGTTTCTTCTTTTGTGTGGCCATCTTCTTTCGGTTTATTGGCATTTTTTATAGCATTTTCAGCTTTTCTTTTCTGACTTTCTTTTTTCTTCTCCTCTTTAATTTTTTTCTCAGCTTCTTTACTTTCCAAGGCATCCTTAACAGGAGTACTAGTTATATACACTGATGGCAATTTATTTCTTGTTTTTTTTTGTCGTGGGAATAGCAACAGGGAGTTGAGGTAAGCCAAATATTGTTTTAGAAGGTCCAGCTGTAGGTTCGAGGTTAGCAAGTGAACTTTTTTTAGACGGTCCTGCTATAACTTCAGAGTTGACAAGTACTAAAGAAGCATCAGTATCACTTGGGTTTAATTCAGTAGTAGCTGTAGTTTGTATTGACATATTATTGTCAGAAGAGGGGTTTTCTCTATTAAGATCCTTTGACACTTCGAATGGTTTATCTGTTGTCATTGAAGGCTCATAGTCAGAATCATCAAAAATTTGAGAATTTAGTGGAACTAAAACAGTTGCTTTAAAACCTTGAACAGAATTTTTTATTATGGCAACCTTATTGTAAGCCACACTAAAAATCCCTGCCCCACCTTTAATTGTAATGACTTGACCTGAATGTTGCATTAAATAATCATTGCATGCCCGGCTATAAGCGGATCTAAAGGGTCCGTAAAAAGACACATACAACGGTTGCATACGATGACTTGTATCAGCAGGAAAACCCAAAACATCAATAAAGTTTTTTCGACATAAAGCTACTGATGGTAAAGTTACGTGCGACGAATGGTTGTCCATTAAAAGTAAAATAGGACTGTCCTTAGAAGGCCTTACATTTTTTATAAAAGCACAAAAGAATGGTGTCCGCCTTCATCCACCCTGATTCATTACATACGCTTGAAGATCCCGTAGGTGTACCATTTAAGAAATGCTGTTGCATTCTTACTCCCGGGAAAATAAAGAATGGAGGAATGTATTGGCCCACAGCACTAAAACAACATGCCACACTGATATTTGTGCCCTTTTCGGCAGAAGACACTTTTATGACTCTACGGGTTCCAATTGGACTTGGAGTTTTAGTAGGCACAGTAGAACAGCCGGTCAGTCTTATGTGTGCGGTACGCTAATGACATTTATGTATTGTGTATATGTCGTTGTAAAAATCGTGGTCGACTAAATAAGATTTTATGGTTGTGAATTAGGGATTTTTTTCTTCGCAGTAAGTGTTTTCATAAAGGTTTAATTATTGTATGTGCAAAGTCTATTAAGTTTTCTTAAAATACGTGTGGGTTATTGTTCATTGTTAAATTTATATCAAATGTTGGTGTCGGGTATGTTGACGAATCTTCCAAGCGGATAAGATGACGAGTTCGTCATCTTACCCGATCTCTGTAAATCAGTATTTGAAAATAGGGTTTACGATTCATTGGCACTAAACAACATGGTAAAAATATAACAACGAAAGACGAATCGGCAAAGTTGGTCTAAGGAAGCGATGATCGCCGCTATAGAAGAAGTAATGGGTGGATCATCTGTAAATGGCACAGCACAAAAATATAAACTTCCAGAAGCTATATTGCGACGCTACGCTAAGAAATATTCTGAGGAGGTAACTAAATATTTAATAACGTTATTGTTTATATTATTATTGTTATTGTTTTTATGCAATAATAGACAACTCTTTTGGATGCTTAAAAAAATTAAAAATTATTTTTAGAATATGCCAGTTAGTACCGGAAGATTTAGATGTACATTTACAAATGAGCAAATGGAAAATCTAAGGCAATATGTAGAAGATGTAAATAAAAGAGCATTTGGCATAACTCGAGAACAGTTTGCAAGAATTGTCTATGATTATGCCGAAACGCTTAGGATTTCTCACCGCTTAACAATATTACTAAGGAGGCAGGAAAAGACTTTATTCAAGACTTTATGGAAAAATTTAGGATTTCATTAAGAAAACCCGAAGCTACTTTCGCAGCGAGATTGCAAGCTTTTAATAGAACAAGTGTCGAAGCATTTTTTACTTTATATCAAGAAGTGTTGGCCAAAATAAATTACGCTCCTCATCAAATCTTTAATATAGATGAGACCGGCTGTCCTACTGTGCCTACTAAAACTCCAAGCGTCCAATTGGAACCCGTAGAGTCATAAAAGTGTCTTCTGCCGAAAAGGACACAAATGTCAGTGTGGCATGTTGTTTTAGTGCTGTGGGCCAATATATTCCTCCATTATTTATTTTCCTGAGAGTAAGAATGCAACAGCATTTCTTAAATGTTGCACCTACGGGATCTTCAGGCGTATGTAATGAATCAGGGTGGATGAACGTGGACAACTTTATTTTGTGGTTACAACATTATATAAAAAATGTGAGGCCTTCCAAGGACAATCCTATTTTACTTTTAATGGACAACCATTTGTCGCACGTAACTTTACCGGCAGTAACTTTATGTCGAAAAAACTATATTGATGTTTTGGGTTTTCCTCCTCATACAAGTCATCGTATGCAAGCGTTGGATGTGTCTTTTTACGGACCCTTTAAAACCGCTTATAGCCGGGCATGCTATAATTATTTAATGCAACATCCAAGTCAAGTCATTACAATTAAAGATGTGGCAGGGATTTTTAGTGTGGCTTACAATAAGGTAAGGCCACAATAAAAAATGCTGTTCACGGTTTTAAAGCAACTGGTTTAGTTACACTAAATTCTCAAATTTTTGATGATTCTATGAGCCTTCAATGGCAACAGATAAACCATTCGAAGTGTCAAAGGGTCTTAACAGAGAAAACCCCTCTTCTGACAATGATATGTCAATACAAACTACAGCTACTACTGGATTCAACCCAAGTGATACTGATGCTTCTTTAGTACTTGTCAACTCTGAAGTTATAGCAGGACCATCTAAAAAAGGTTCACTCGAACCCAGAGCTGGACCTTCTAAAACATTATTTGGCTTGCCTCAACTCTCTGCTGCTATTCTCACGACAAAAAAACCAAGAAAGAAATTGCCGTCATTGTATATAACTAGTACTCCTGTTAGTGATACCTTGGAGAGTAAAGAAGCTGGGAAAAAATTAAAGAGGAGAAGAAAAAAGAAAATCCGAAAAGAAAAGCTGAAAATGCTAAAAAAATGCTAATAAACCGAAAAAGATGGCCACACAAAAGAAAAAATTGCAGAAACATGTTAGACAAATAAAGTTTGATAATGACAGTGTGTCTTCAGATTCCACCATATAAATAGATTACATGGAAAGTGATCATGACATCGATTACGTCGGAGATACAGAAGAAGTTTGTTTAATTTGCAGTGAATCAGGCAAAGATGAACTTTGGTATGCCTGCTCCTCTTGTAGTAAATGGGTGCATGCCGCCTGTACTGGTTTTACAGCATCAGAGGCAAAGCGTAAGGCATATGTTTGTGACTTTTGTCAAGTTTAATAAAAATATAATTAATTTTCAAATATAGTTTCTTTTTCGTCATCTTACCCACCCAATATTGTCATCTTACCCGCCTACGAGGGCAAGATGACGAACTTGACATCCAATTTTTAAGGTAAAGAATTAAATAGAAAATCTCAAAATATTTAAGTATTTGATAATTCTCTTTATTTCTTAATGTTTCAAGTTAATGTTAAAATTGAACACAAGATACCAAATTGAAATTGCATTGAGGAAAATGTAAAATAAGCTCACTATCGTCATCTTACCCCCCTTTCCCTAATGTTGGTCAAGGTTGAGACAAAAGACTCTAGCCACATCGATAAAGCGGTTTTTGTGATACCGCCTGTTGTGTTTTCTAACTATAATTTTCATTTGTTCATTAAAATACATTGTACCTGTTTATTATGCCTAGAGTGAGAAGACGAGAAGTTTTCAATAGCTTAGCCAGTTTGATAAGGGGCGGTTAGTAGTCTTATGCGAAGCTGGTTGGGCCTTTAGAGATATAGCCACTATGGTCACACCAGTCGAAATACGGCGGCGGTCTGTTCTCGGGCATGGATTAGGAAGGTCGGAAATGAAGAGTGAGGTACAGGGCGTGACTGAACAACCATTCCAGGTCCGCGGCTTTAGATCAATTGCAGACCAATGCCGTGGAAAGTATGGAAAGCCAATTACAATACGAATTGTTTATCGTCGGTTCAACAGTCTTGGACTTACCCCAAACCGTCCTTAGTTTGTTCTATCTCTCACCCTTAGGCACCGAAGTGACTGACTTGTTGCAGAGAACAGCTGATCCGGGTTTTGGAATGAAGCATCATATTGCCTTTAGTCAATAAATCCTCATTCTGTTAGGGCATGCATGATGGTCGTGGCAAGACGATGAGGTGAAAGATAGGATTCTCAATTTTCAATGGAAACGCATGTGCACCACATGATATTGGGGGCTATTCACTGTGGAAGCAGGTCATCTTTAGTGTTCATCAGAGACAATACGACCGCCATGCGTTACAGCTAGGAGGTGAGGGAACCATGTTTTTTTCCCTGTGTACGGACACTTACGAGCCCCTTTACCAACATTTTGAAGACAATCAAGTTGATTTGTTACCTTGGCCCCTAGATCTCCCGATATTTTACGCATTGAACCCCATCTTCCATAGACTATAGAGGCACGAGTCACAAGTAGCCTGGGATAAAATACCCCAAGAGAAAATCGATCATCTGATTACGAGTATGGCCAGACATGGTTCTATGTATACAGGGTGTTTCAGTTTATTGTTGCATAACTTTAAGTCTCGATAGAACTTTTAAAATTAATGCATAAAGTCTATATAAACATGGGTCGAAAAATGCGTGGCTTCCGAAATACAGGGTGTTTAAATTTACTTTTTAAAATAGTTTTTTTTTAAATATTTCGATCAATTTCTGATGTATAACAGTGAAAATTGGTATACAAGGGTTTTTTGGTATGATAAAACGAACCATGGGCATAGCTTTACTGTAGCCGCTAGAGGGCGCTCTCTACTGTACCTATAGTGTATTAAAATAACCGAAAATTTTTTCTTAGTGCAATTCTTTGCTTTTCGTATAAAAAAACTGATACTTCGCACTTTTCTGCATAAAAAAGCTCTCCTGTGAGTTTTCGTTATAGTTAGCCGTTTTTGACATATTTCGATTTTTAAGGTTCGATGCATTTTTAATTATTTATGGGAGAATAATATTTTTTTTACATTTTCGATTTGGGAATTACAAGTAATTAAGATGCACGTTTAGATTGTGTTTTTAAACACAGCAATAATTCCTAACTCCAAATAAACACAAAAAAACAGGATATTAATTTGTTTAATTTTCCAATATTATTTTTAACAAATTAAATTAATTATTTACAACTAAAATGCTATTGGATAGTTAGGACAAACATACTAAATCTAAAATAGTTGCTCGAAATGAAAACCCAATTGTTCAATACACAATTCACATCTACGATTGGTCGAACGTGGTATAGCATTATTCAAATAAGGCCTTATTTCATCATATGCATTCCTGATTCTGTCAATTAGCATATCTCTTGTGGTTACGGGAGTCTGGTACACTTTTTCTTTTAGAAATCCCCACACAAAGAAATCTAATGGATTTAGGTCAGGGGATCGTGGAGGCCAGGCGACTGGCCCTCCACGGCCGATCCATCTTTCTGGATAATTTTAGTCCAGCCAGTTTCTAACTATTCTCGAATAATGAGCTGGACAACCATCAAGCTGGTACCAGGCCAATCTTCTTAAATCTAACATAACATCATCCCACATATTTGCATGTTCAGCCTTTAAAAATTCCAAGAAGGTCGCAGCATTTAACCTTGCAGGCAAAAGGTAGGGTCCAAATAGTCGATTACGGTAGATACCAATCCACACGTTCACACTAAATTCATGCTGAAAATTTCTTTCCCGAACTGCTTGCGGATTTTCATGCGACCAAATATGTTGATTATGAAAATTTACCACTCCATGTCTAGTGAAGCATGACTCATCGGTCCATAAAACGTTACTTAAAAACTCCCTATTATTATCAGTTCTATCAAGAATCCACTGACAAAATGTGATTCTTCGTTCTCCGTCCCCTGGCTGTAGTCCTTGCACAGGTTGCAAATGGTAAGGACGTCTATGGTCATTTCTAAGAACACGGTGAACATGGCTTGCTGAAATTCCCAAGGCACCAGAAACTCTCCTAACACTTGTGGTCAGCCATACACAAAATGAATATCCGCTAACTCTTGATTGGAGAATAAAATGGCATTTTTATAAAATAAAAAACAGGTAAAAGAAACTAAATTTCGTGCATTCACAATTGCAAAAAAACGTTTCAGGTTTCAACAGACAACAAAACTAGCTGTCAACTATTTGACGTTTAACCTTATTCTGCTTTCAATTTCAAAAATATTTGCAGGCACAGCCTACTTCTAAAAATTATCGAGATACTGACTTTTTAACGTTATTTTATCATGAATAATTAAAAATGCATGGAACCTTAAAAATCGAAATATATCAAAAACGGCTAACTATAACGAAAATTCACAAGAGAGCTTTTTTATGTTGAAAAGTGCGAAGAATCAGTTTTTTTTCAAAAAGCAAAAAATCGCATTAAGAAAAATTTTTCGGCCATTTTAATACACTACAGGTACAGTAGAGAGCGCCCTCTAGAGGTTACAGTAAAACTATGGGTTCGTTTTGTCGTACCAAAAAACCCTTGTATACTTGTATACTACTAACAGAAAAAGTGTACCAGACTCCCGTAACCACAAGAGATATGCTAATAAACAGAATCAGGAATGCATGTGATGAAATAAGGCCTTATTTGAATAATGCTATACCACGTTCGATCATTCGTAGATGTGAATTGTGTATTGAACAATTTCGAGCAACTACTTTAGATTTTGTATGTTCGTCCTAACTATCCAATAGCATTTTAGTTGTAAATAATTAATTTAATTTATTAAAAATAATATTGGAAAATTAAACAAATTAATATTCTGTTTTTTTGTGTTTATTTGGAGTTAGGAATTATTGCTGTGTTTAAAAACACAATCTAAACGATCATCTTAATTACTTGTAATGCCCAAATCAAAAATGTAAAAAAAATATTATTTTCCCATAAATAATTAAAAATGCATCGAACCTTAAAAATCGAATTATCTCAAAAACGGCTAACTATAACGAAAATTCACAAGAGAGCTTTTTTATGTTGAAAAGTGCGAAGAATCAGTTTTTTTATTCAAAAAGCAAAAAATTGCACTAAGAAAAAAATTTCGGTCATTTTAATACACTACAGATACAGTAGAGAGCGCCCTCTAGTGGCTACAGTAAAACTATGCCCGTGGTTCGTTTTGTCGTACCAAAAAACCCTTGTATACCAATTTTCACTGTTATACATCAAATATTGTTCCAAATATTTACAAAAAACTATTTTAGTAAGTAAATTTAAACACCCTGTATTTCGGAAGCCACGCATTTTTCGACCCATGTTTATATAGACTTTATGAATTAATTTTAAAAGTTCTATCGAATCTTAAAGTTATGCAACAATAAACTGAAACACCCTGTATAAGACATCGTGAAGGTCCAACAAGTCATGAATGTCTTACATTGTTTTCAACGGTTTGCGACAGCAGTATTTCCCCTTAGAATACTAGTCCGATTGGGCTATGAATTTTTAGTAGCGCAAGACCGAGACCAGGCAGCTCGACGCCGATTGGCCGATCCGTACGGTGCGATTAACAGATTCAGCACAAGTAATGGTATTAAAGGAGGTAACTATCTTTACTTTCGGAGAAATGTATTGTGCCTGAGCCGATCCTGGTTTGGATTACGTTCTTCCAGCCGAGGGTTTAACCGTAACTGAGTCGGGCGGCGAGGACCGCCATTTCATGGAGAAAGTGCCAGTGCAGAGAGCTGGACTGTCACCCAAGCCCGTTTCGGCGTACAGCCTAAATTACATAATACTGCGAGGGCGGTACAGGGTTTTTTATACTCGAACTGCCACTAAGGCCTAAACACTCATTGGGTAACGTGAGACTATAGGGGGATACAGGGGAAAAGGGGGAGATACCTCACGGAATCTAGCGAGGGAGTACGTTTGCAAGCAACCTGCACACATTCTAGCCCCGCTTTAGAGATCGGCCGGGTGGTACCTCCGCGTTTGACAGTCACGCGCAGCGTATGGCGACTGATTAGGAGACGTCTACCAGTACGCCATCGCCGCTGCCTTGGGTGCCGTAATTGCTGGAGGGTGCTGGCGACCCTCATCTCCTTTTCTGACTTCCAGAGCGGAACTGGAAGTAAGTTCCGGGTCTTATGTAGACAAGTAAAACATTTTTCGATCTATCGGTGAAATTTTGCATTCGGTGGCAGCTTAGTTAGAGGATAATTCACGCTTCATTAAAAGGTAAAACTATTTTTGCGTTTTCTTACTTGAAGACGTTACCCTTGGATGAACGTGTGAAGGATCGCTTTCAGCACCCTTGGCCCGTTACAGGTTGGATTTTTCTGTAATTTTGATCAATCACTTACCTAATCCTGAGATCCATGTTGACAAACGTTTTTGTAATAAATTCGTTATTGCTGGGTGTTCTTTT